GATTAATTTTGGCTTGACAGTTGACAGGAATATGTAGCTAGTAAGCTCCAGTCAATGTTTTTAGTTTCATTTCTTCCTGGCATTCCATTTTGACAACTTCTGGTCGTCGCAGGATCATTATCCATTGATTAGTCCTTTGGATTTGTTCGATACTTCCTTGGAAATCCAAGTCGTGAATTTCAAAATATACTAAAACTTCATTTAAACCTTGTCTGGATTTGTAGAATATATTTTACACTGGCTGCATAAGGCACTCAAAATTCGATCAAGTAGAGAATAATAATGCTAGCTAATCATAGGCGACGTCCATATAATTTTATTGCTTTCACACACATAGCAATTTATAAATAGTACAGCGACATCGATATAATTGAAACATCAAAGGTTGAAAATCCTCTGTCGCTCAAATCATTTTTATATAGCGGGACTGGATACGATAAATCTATAGATTGATGAAACAATTTCTTGATAAAATAAAGTTACTTTAATTGTCAATCTTGCTTGTAAATAGAATAAAACCCTTCATTTAGATGATGAATAAAAGACAGTCAACGATGTACCTATATAATTATATACAGTATGGCCCTCTTAATGTTGTATTTTGAAGTCTGCACCCGAAATTCGATTGCAAGAATAAAATTAACCAACCTTGCATGCAATTTTCTTGAAAGTGTTTCTGCAATATTTAGCATTTCAGACAGTAAAATCTTAGAAATGTCAAATCTGTTTTGATGATAACATTGTAGTTTAGTTTTTCATTCAAGTCACACATTTCAAATATGTACGTAAAAGCAGGGACAATACAGAATATAATAATATATAATGTCAAATATCGATATGGCTCTTAGTTATTTTTACAAAGTATTCTTTTATCATTTCAATGTAAATTTTCCAAAACTAACTAGGACATGCACCAAGAGATCAAACACTTGAGTGAACAGGTTAAAATGTCAAGCGAAAATTCAGTACATTTCCATTTTCTTTCAAAATTATTTCCTGAAACCAATGCACAATATAACGCATCAAAAAAACAACATCAGAAACTAGTATCCGATACAACAGGAAGCTATTATCAGAAACAGAACTGTACAGTCAAAAAACATCGCGAGCTACATGGAGTGTGGTAACAGATTTATAAGGTGATAAATAAGAATCACAAAATATTTCAGTTAGAGATAATGTGATACCTTGTAAAAGATTGCAGATAAGATGAACTTAAACTTTAGTGTTTTCTCGAAATTCGTTCTGGAACAATAACAAAACCGACCAATTCTAGGAATTTACCTAACTGTCTAGGTCAGGAATATGATGATTTACTTCGTTTCACCGATGAGGAATTTTTTGAGTTCATACATACTAAGTTAAAAAACATCTGGACCTGATGAAATTACAAACTTTGTAGTAAAGAGAGCATTAATATACAGGGTGTTTCAGTTTATTGTTGCATAACTTTAAGATTCGATAGAACTTTTAAAATTAATGCATCAAGTCTATATAAACATGGGTCGAAAAATGCGTGGCTTCCGAAATACAGGGTGTTTAAATTTACTTTTTAAAATAGTTTTTTTTTTAAATATTTCGAACAATATTTGATGTATAACAGTGAAAATAGGTATACAAGGGTTATTTGGTACGGCAAAACGAACCATGGGCATAGTTTTACTGTAGCCGCTAGAGGGCGCTCTCTACTGTACCTGTAGTTTATTGAAATGACCGAAAATTTTTTCTTAGTGCAATTTTTGCTTTTTGAAAAAACTGATTCTTCTCACTTTTCTGCATAAAAAACCTCTCCTGTGAGTTTTCGTTATAGTTAGCCGTTTTTGAGATATTTCGATTTTTAAGGTTCGATGCATTTTTAATTATTTATGGGAAAATAATATTTTTTTATATTTTCGATTTGGGCATTACAAGTAATTAAGATAATCGTTTAGATTGTGTTTTTAAACACAGCAATAATTCCTAACTCCAAATAAACACAAAAAAACAGAATATTAATTTGTTTAATTTTCCAATATTATTTTTAACAAATTAAATTAATTATTTACAACTAAAATGCTATTGGATAGTTAAGACAAACATACAAAATCTAAAGTAGTTGCTCGAAATGTAAACCCAATTGTTCAATACACAATTCACATCTACGAATGATCGAACGTGGTATAGCATTCTTCAAATAAGGCCTTATTTCATCACATGCATTCCTGATTCTGTCTATTAGCATATCTCTTGTGGTTACGGGAGTCTGGTACACTTTTTCTTTTAGAAGTCCCCACACAAAGAAATCTAATGGATTTAGGTCAGGGGATCGTGGAGGCCAGGAGACTGGTCCTCCACGGCCGATCCATCTTTCTGGATAATTTTCGTCCAGCCAATTTCTAACCATTCTCGAATAATGAGCTGGACAACCATCAAACTGGAACCAGGACAATCTTCTTAAATCTAACATAACATCATCCCACATATTTGCACGTTCAGCCTTTAAAAATTCCAAGAAGGTCGCAGCATTTAACCTTGCAGGCAAAAGGTAGGGTCCAAATAGTCGATTACGGTAGATATCAATCCACACGTTCACACCAAATTCATGCTGAAAATTTCTTTCCCGAACTGCATGCGGATTTTCATGCGACCAAATATGTTGATTATTAAAATTTACCACTCCACGTCTAGTGAAGCATGACTCATCGGTCCATAAAACGTTACTTAAAAACTCCCTATTATTATCAGTTCTATCAAGAATCTACTGACAAAATGTGATTCTTCGTTCTCCGTCCCCTGGCTGTAGTCCTTGCACAGGTTGCGAATGGTAAGGACGTCTATGGTCATTTCTAAGAACACGGTGAACATGGCTTGCTGAAATTCCCAAGGCACCAGAAACTCTCCTAACACTTGTGGTCGGATCTCTATCAAACTCACGCAGAATCATACGGGTAAATCTGCGCTGACGAACATTTATGTTTTGATCCCTTTGGAGATTTCCAAAACCATTGTCAATTATTTGGCGATGCACTCTTACAAATACTGAGCGAGTTGGATGTCGTCTGTTTGGAAATATTCTCTGGCTGCTTCTGCAGCGTTTCCATTTACAAAGCCATACACAAAATGAATATCCGCTAACTCTTGATTGGAGAATAAAAATGGCATTTTTGCAAAACTTACAAAAAAAAACAGGCAAAAGAAACTAAATTTCGTGCATCCACAACTGCAAAAAAACGTTTCAGGTTTCAACAGACAACAAAACTAACTGTCAACTAATTGACGTTTAACCTTATTCTGTTTTCAATTTCAAAAATATTTGCAGGCACAGCCTACTTCTAAAAATTATCGAGATACTGACTTTTTAACGTTATTTTATCATAAATAATTAAAAATGCATCGAACCTTAAAAATCGAATATCTGAAAAACGGCTAACTATAACGAAAATTCACAAGAGAGCTTTTTTATGTTGAAAAGTGCGAAGAATCAGTTTTTTATTCAAAAAGCAAAACATTGCACTAAGAAAAAATTTTCGGTCATTTTAATACACTACAGGTACAGTAGAGAGCGCCCTCTAGCGGCTACAGTAACACTATGCCCATGGTTCGTTTTGTCGTGCCAAAAAACCCTTGTCTACCAATTTTCACTGTTATACATCAAATATTGTTCGAAATATTTAAAAAAAACTATTTTAGAAAGTAAATTTAAACACCCTGTATTTCGGAAGCCACACATTTTTCGACCCATGTTTATATAGACTTTATGCATTAATTTTAAAAGTTCTATCGAACCTTAAAGTTATGCAACAATAAACTGAAACACTCTGTATATTTGTATTACCAAACCACTTGTTTTCTTAATAAATTTATCTTTTTGCAATGGTAAGTTCCCTGATGTATTGAAGAAAGGTAAAGTTGTGCCAATATTTAAAAAGGGTGGCCTGCCTGTATGAATAATTACAGGCCAGTTACTGTGCCATTTTGTCTTTCAAACACATTTGAATACTGTTTCTCATTGTCAACAATAACATACTAACTTTTGAACAACGTGGTTTCTGTGATAATAAATCCACCATAGCGATATATTCATTTTATGGAAAACGAATTGATCTGATTGAGGCTGCTGAGTGTCCTCTTGCGATCTTTTGAGATACTGTTAAAAAGACTACATGATCGCGGAATTACTGGCAGTTCTCTCACATGGATCGAATCTCTTTCACAATATGTTTATTACACAATTATGGTACAGAAATGAAGCAAATCCGGTCTTCATGCGTTGATATTGATATGGGAGTTCCCCAAGGGTCTATATTAGGGCCTCTTTTATTTATACTGTATATAAATGTTTTGGGTAAACTGTTCAATGGCCAAGTAGATTTTAAATTGTATTCAGACGATGCCTCAAAATTTAATGAAGCATCTTGAAAAATTTGTTTGCATAAAGTCAGTTATTTTTAAACTCAGGGAAGACTGCTGTGGTAGGATTTCACAATGTAACGAAGAAGTTAGATGACATGGATATTAGGTTAAATGACAAACAGATCAAGTTCCATGACAACACTAAATTTTTGGGATTATATTTAAATTTCAAAACCCATTGCAAGTATATGATGTCAGTTCTAAATTCTCATTAATAAATTTATAAAAATGTATGACGAAGATCGACTTTTCAGTCTATAACTATGCACAGTTTGAAGAATGGCCTTTGCTTCATCAAGTACAATGATAGGTGTATTTATACGCCATAAAAGAGTGATCAGAAACATTGCTAAAGTAAATGACAAAAAATGTTATTACGCGGTCTCGGGATATTGTGTTTTATGAGGCATCAATTTTTTATAGATTTATTTGTTTTTTATATTTTGAATTTTATACATTGTATGTGTCTGAAAGAACAATAAACTATCACTATTACTATTTTATAGTCCAAAAGTTGGCAACCCTACGGCGCCTACAAATCTCATCGAATGTCTGTAAAATACCTTCATGCGTATAATCTTGCATCGATTTGATTTTATCTTTGACAGATCGTATCCGGTGTCAAATCCGCTCGATGTTTCATCGTTCAGTGTCGCGAAAACTCACCTGCCAACGAAGTTCTCCAAAACGGAGCTTTTCCCAGCGGACTGTCCTCCGACCACAGCGATTTGGGGCAGTTCCAAAGTCAAGCTCACGCCCAATTGTGAAAAAGCGTCCTGTAATTTGTTCACAATCGGAATCAGCTGTTCCATTCCGGAGTTTCCCGCCATGGTCACCCTTGATTCACGTACTATAATATCGCGCACCTTCCACTAACCACTTTTGTTTTAGCACTGCCTTAGCTGTGACTCACATGTTCTTAATTTTTCCCGTACGAGTATATTGAAAGAGGCCTTTGTTGGTTTCACTTTGTGATGGTTTTTCAGTACATCGAAAGATAGGTTATCTTCCCGTACTGCGTTTGAAGTGCGACCTGAGAGAACTCGACGATAGTAGATAAAATCTAGGTTATAACGTGATATCGTAATCTGTAGGAACTGTTACATTAACAATAATTATACGTGTTGTTATAAACATCGTTAGATTGGTTGCCTAACGTATACTAACGCTGAGCTGTAGATGAGCGAAAGTGGTGTTACGGCTCTTATTCTACGGTATCTTATTTTAGACTGTGCATGGGTGGTACCGTAGCATTTTTAGACGGTGACTAGTTCTTTGAATGTGTTTTTTATGACATCTCTTTAACCTTGATGTAGATGGTCGTGACAGAGATTTTGAGCATCTATTCCTCTACAGTATATTCAGATAAGAGATAGACCGGACATAAACAAGACCAGGTGATCATCGAACACTGTAACATTCGGCAGGGACGTATTAAGAGTCACGCAGTACATATTTTAGATAGTAGATGCTGCTTTGCGTAACTTTATAGTAAATTAGCACAATTCGATGTGTATACGATTGGTGATGGATATAGGATCATGTGGGGGTGGGGTAAGAAATATATAATGATGTAAATATACATAAGGGTTTCAAAATTTTCGCTTCGATTTCCAGCTTCGGATGCCGCCTGATGTTTGGTGAAATACAGTCGAATATAATCTCAAAATGGCGTTTAAATTAGCCTAAATTAAAAATAATCGTATATCTCTTAAAATTGCTTTTAGAATATTGATTAGTATATTTTTTGATTTCTAGGTAAATATGTAACCAAATTAAAACGTTCAAAACGTAAAAAAATTTGCATGGTTGAACATTGTCAGAAAGTAGATTCTTGAATAGGTTTTGCCAAAATGGGTTCAAAAATGTCAATAATTAATTAAAAAATACAGTAGCTTTATAATTACTTATAACTTACCGAATTTGATGAACGACATCTTTTATTGGAAAGATGAGCTTGATGAGCTTTCATCATCGCTACTGCCTGAAGCACCAACGTCAATAATGAATGGCTCGACTTGTTCCTCTAAAATATTGTCCAGTTCCCACATTCTCTTTTCAACTTTGTCTTTCACGTGATTAATACAGTTTTCCCATTTTTGCGTTGTTATTAATTCTAGTGCTTCTTTGAAAAGTCCTTTGAGGTCACAAAATTTAAAAGTTGTATTATGCTTAGCTATATAATTTTTAACCTCTGCCCATATGAGCTCAATGGGATTGAGCTCGCAATGGTATGGAGGTAAACGGAGCACAGTTTTATTTTGACTTGCTGCCATTTCGTCAATGGCGTATTTTTGATATTCCGCCTTGTGATCCTTGACAATTCTTAATAATTGTACTTTCAGCATTGCTTGTTCAAAGTTGATATTTTTTGAGCAGAGCCAATTTTGAACATCAACTTTCCTTGAAGCCGTTGTTGGGACCTTCTCCATTCTTCGAGAATGATAAGGCGCATTATCCAGCACAATTACTGCGTTTTCCTCTAAGTTCGGTAAAATTTTTGAAAACCACTGTTCAAACGATTCGCCATTCATTTCCTCGTGGTAATCTCCAGTTTTCTTATAGAGTCAAAGCACCACAGACCGTCAACAACAAATCCATCCTCACTGCCAATATGGCAGATAATGAGCCTTTTCCCTTTACCTGGAAATCGAAGTACTAACTGGTGTAGATTTATTTCAATAAGCGAACCTTTTTCAAATGTTTTCATCACATTCAGCGAAAAAACATTGAGACATGAGTATCAGATTGCTATAATTGGGATTATTTAGTCATATTGAAAGAAAGAATATTGAACGTCGTATGATTACTCAGCGCTTCACAATTTAATTTAAAGTTATAAACCTTTAAAAATTGAATGATCAGGAACCTGAAATACGCGCAAATATTAATATTAACAAATTATAACTTTATAAAGCTTAAAGTATGAATTAAAATGATTAGAAATATTAGGAACGGTACACAATATAAAACTTAGTAACTTTTTTTAAGTTTATAATATTCGACATATTTTAAGATTATATTAAAAAATTATTGAAATATCGAAAACACATAAAAACATGGCTTAAAAAAGTTCTAACAGATGAAAATGACAATAAAACATCCACGCATTTTATCGAAAGTTATAAAAGTTTTGTTACTTGTAATATGTTTTATCTGCCCCCTGGAATCAATGTTTAGAACCTTGTTCCCAAGGTTTGAAAAACATCCGATTGTTGTCTATTACTCGTATTTACCTGCTGGATTTTTTAATCCGGTGGACAGTCCATCTAGAAAGGCCCTCCTGGATGAAGTTACAGAATCATCAACCCATACTTTACTTGTAGTGTGTCCTGCGTTTACCCACGTTTCATCAAGGTAATAAATCTTCCTGTTTTGATTTCTATATTTCCCAATTTTTGTTAAATAATCCCTTCTCCATAGCACAATTTCTTCTCTATCCAGTAGTAAACTATTACGACCCCGTTTTTTCCATTTGAAATTTAAATGCTTCAGTAACGCATGGAAAGTTGATCGTTTGAAATTTGGCAACGTTGTATCTCCATTTACCTCCTGCAGTACTTTATCTATAGTAGGTATTTCATTCCTAAAGAAGAATTCATGCACTTTCCTCCTAATCGCATGCTTATCAGCTTCATCCAATGATTTAACAATACTTTTGCGATGTTTACTGGTCATTGGCTCAGAAAAGGTGTGATTTTTTTTGTATTGTCTTAACACATTAAACACTGATGCGCGACACACCCCAACTTTGTGAGAAACCTTCACAACAATTTCTTTGATGGTTGATGCCTCGTTCTCCTCGCGCTCGATCTTATATATATTCAAAATGACCTCTTTCATTTCTGCACTCAGGTGTCTTTTTTTAGAGCGTTTCCTAGGTACTACAGGAGTTTACAACTTCATCGGCAGTATCTGTACTACTGGGCATTTTGCGCAAGCAGTTGATAACAATAACAATCAATAACAAGGTATAACAATAACAACGACAAACTCAACAACTTAATAAGATAACAAACGAAAACGTCCAAAGAAATATCAAATTGCAATGATGCACACGACATACGTAACACGTCTGAACCTGAATGTGACTCTGCCTTGATACGACTGCTCTGCCGCTCGGCATAGGCATTTAATTGCGAATTGACCAATGAGGGCTCCTGTTTTACGTCGAGACGGCGGCGTTAGCGTGAAAATCACCCGAACCTTTTGTTTACATCCGGTCTATCTCTTATCTGAATATACTGTAGAACGATATTTGATTTTATCAATCACAGCAAAGGAAGCCAAAAGTTGTGGCGGAAGTAGAAGAGATAGCCACACATCAGTATTTGTCTAAAGAAGTTGATGGTGACACTGTTTGCATAATATTAGGCCTTGAACGTAGCGGAGGAAATTGCTTGTGTTATGGACACCTCCGCCTCTGATGAGATAATAAATATTAGCGATAATGGTCAGTTTATTTGGATGCTTCGAAGGCATCTGCTTTGTTTATATGATGTCAAGAGGCTAGAGAGATAGAAAGGTTGAGAAGCTCTGGTGGGGATTCTGTGTTGCTCTGCTATGAGGATCCCAAAGAAATTTTGTTAATCCGATTTTTGAACCGGATAAGGTTAGTATAACTGGGAAAAGCTTCCTCCTGTACACTGTTCCACAATCTTGACACTCTTAGGACAAAGCATGTACGAAGTTAGTTAGTTAGTCCAGAATCTCGCGATTTATGCCCACTCCAGAAAGCAGAGCTATCATAGGCCTGTAGTTATAAGGGTCGGTCTCAGATTCTCTTTTTGGAATGGGTTGGACATGAGCAAATTTTATTGTTTCACTAGCTGGCTCAGTCCTTGGGTAATAGCGAACGCTTAAACTGCACGACATGCTGCATCGGCTAATTTAGGACGCCAAGATCGGTGCAGACTCTGAGATTTGTGTCTCCGCCAAGAAAAGCATGGCGGGATGATTGGATTGCAGGTAGTGATGAACAGTATCAATGTCGCTGTCAATCCCGCAGAAGTTCGTGACACAAATTTTATCGTGGATGTTGTTCCCTCGGGTCCAGCCTCCACCCGGACATTCCGAGAGTGGAGTGCGTTTGCGTCCAGAATTCTCAGCACTCAAGGATCCATCATTATTAATTTCTTTGTCAGAGAAGATAACCGACTGCGTAACTTGAGTGTGGAAACATGCGGACCAGGGGAAAAACTAGCGGGTGGTACCGCCTCGGTCGACTGGTCCTTGTCTACCACTTTCTTTTTACTTATTAATGATGTTGAATGGACTTAAAGTGGCCCGTTCGCGGACTTGTACCGCCACCCGGTATTCCTTAACGTGTAAGAATCACTTGAACGGGAAGAAGTTTTATCCTGAATACAACAACTTCCGGAACAAGCATTTGCCATGGCCTTGCACAGTAGGGATGAAATGGTTTCACGTTAGCGTATAGTTTGATTGGTATTTCCAATAACTTGAATTACTCACCTATTTTTCGATCTATACTAAGTGACATATAAATCCGAACACCCAGTTTAAATGGTTTTATTTTAATAAAAGTTGATGAATGTATTTATCTTGCTGTAAATAACAAGTGAAAAAATTATCAGTTGGACATTCCGGTTTTTATACTGCTTTTTTTTAATTCACTAACGCTCTAAAAATGAATATTTCAGCCGCAGTAAAGAATCAACGTTGGCGGATTTTGGTTCTTGACATCCTTTACGATCGGTTACGATGCCTAGAGTACGGAGACCTGTACGATTTCGTCAACTTAGTGAGTTTGATAGGGGCCGTATAGTGGGACTTCGGGAAGCTGGACTTTCTTTTCGGGCAATTGCAGTTAGAGTGCAAAGAAGTGTAGACACTGTGGTTAGGTGTTGTCAGGCATGGCTTCGAAAAGGCCGTACGCAAAGAGCAAGGGGCACTGGACGCCGCCGTAGGACAACAGACCGTGAAGATTGTCTTAGAGTTAACTACCAAAACAAAGAAACTAATGATGATGGATCCCTCGAGCACTAAAAACTCCGGACGTAAACTCACTCCACTCTCGGAATGTCCGGGTGGAGGGTGGGCTCGAGGGAACAACATCGAAGATAAAATTTGTTTTTCGAACATCTGCGGGATCATCAGCAACATTGATGCTGTTCATCACTACCTGCAATCCAATCGTCCCGCCGTGATTTTCTTGGCGGAGACAAAAATCTCAGAGACTGCATCGATTAACCATCTCAACTTCCCAA